CTGGCGGGGCCCGTCTGCAGCGCTGGCTGCGGTGGCCGCTGACGCAAGGGTGGGCCGACATAGCTGCAGGCTGTGTTTGCGGTGCATGCGACGACTGGCTGGTAGAGGAGGGGATCATCCAGAGCTCGGCTTTAGGTCCAGACGCGTGGCTAGTTCGTTATGTTGCCAGACTGTTGCCGCGCGGCTTAGGTCCAGACCCGTGGCTATTTCGTTATGTTGCCAGTCTGTTGCCGCGCGGTTTAGGTTCGGACCCGTGGCTATTTCGTTATGTTGCCAGTCTGTTGCCGCGCGGTTTAGGTTCAGACCCGTGGCTATTTCGTTATGTTGACACACTATTGCCGCGCGGTTTAGGTCCAAACTCGTGGCTATTTCGTTATGTTGCCAGACTGTTGCCGCACGGTTTAGGTTCAGACCCGTGACTGTTTCGTTATGTTGCCGCACTGTTGCCGCGCGGTTGACCTGACGTACGCGCTTCTTGTCATTTAGTCAATGAAGCGTGGCCATGTCATGACAAATCGGAAGATGGTCATACCCGCACAGTGTCCCCGTTCTATTTCACGATGTACTGCAGTAGAGCAAAGACAAATACGATAACCACAAAATATACTATTTGTTTAGTTACGACTGTTCTTCAGGCTTTGTACAGTCCACTGGGTTTCAGGTGTTCGTGTTTGGACCGAGCGGCCCTGTGTTGAGACTGGCCTCCAACTGATTTACCTATCCTTTCCCTCTAGTCAGCGCGATTTTTGGGGCCGGTGATAGTCAAAGCGAGTAATGGCCGTATTGTCATTCCCTAACATGCGCCAATCAATAACCCCACGGTCCGGTAATTCCCTAAATGGATGTCTCGCACGGCAGATGGTTGGCAGATCAATACTGATAGCCTTACTGGTGCAAGGAAGATAAGATTAGTGATACATTGAGAGAAATCACGCATATAGTGGTGGCAGGGCTCCAACGGTAGTCTGTTACCCGCCGGGTGCTTTCTGGGCTACCAACGCTTTGTGTGACCTACAGCGTGCTGAATATTATTGTATTCTGGATGCATGGCGTGTGCACTGACTGGGTGATGGCGTTCATTTCACGATGGGGAACACGGACTCAATTCCTGAGTATGTGGCCAGATCTGATTAGCGTACTTGTTTGACCATGTCACATGGCCCCCGACAATGTCACAGGTGAGCCGACATATTGTGTGTCGGTGTGATCACTGACCTGGATGGATGAGGCAAACTTGTGCATGACGTTAAAAGACAAACTTTCCGAAAGGCAAACGCGGCGCGCTTGCTGGTGCCAGAGAACGATCAGCCGCCAGCCGACGCAAGAACCGACGCAGTTTTTTGTTGAAATCGTAGGTGCTACGCCGTAGCATGCATAACATCGAACATTGTATGAGCTAAGCCAAATGTTCCGAACGCGATAGTGGCCGGCCCGCGATGCTTGGCACCAAAATAGCTCCAGGTAAAGGTTGTATTAAACATCCGCTAAAGTAATCAGGAGGTAATCATCCAGCGGGAGGTGAGCAGAAGATACGCCTAAGGTCTCTGGCACGACCGTATTACCAGCGACGACACTGCACAAAAAGTATCATTGAAACGGATAACTGAGACTGCCGGCGGACTCCGTACAGTACTGGCTAACGTCGAGCTGTGTGTGGAAACCGGCATGAAAGGGCAGGATTGACTATGCACCGGCCGTTATGATCGGCACGGCGCGGGGTGTGCGAGAGAGGGAACTACCCGATCCTCAGCTAGACTTCCGGGCGCTCGCCCGGCCGAGAACTGATTTGTAACGGATTAACATTAACGGCACCGCAAGCTGGTGCGGGAATCTGGTGATGAAACTGCACAAGTAAAGGTAGATTCTCTAGTTCCGTTCCTGGCAAGGGTTCCCGTGGGCAGGAAAGCGCGGCATCTTTCCCGGTCAAAGGATGAAGAGTCGTTCCGTTCCAGCGCGGGCTGCTTACCGGTTGTCATACTAGCGACACGGGAAAGCACAATGGTTGATCCGGAGGTTCTTGGGGAGCGGGGGTGGGGGGGGGGGGGGGGGAGATAATCATACATTGGTCGTCTCCCTGGCGCGGGAGGTGACCCTCTGTCCCGGACAGTTGACTTCGGATCTACGCAGGGCCTCTCATTGACGCAAAATAATCCCTTATCGTCGCAGGGGTGCAATTACTGGCACAGAAACTCCAAGACTGCTTTATAACTCTTGTTTCCAGGATTGCGAGCGCGCTGACTCAACGCCCTTAATATCATTGGTTTCACAGCTAATGGAAACGTTGCAAAGGGATGGATGTCTTCAAGGAAACATAGGCGGACCTTTTTCATTTTTGACCTCATTTTGACCCTCATGTTTGAACACTAAGCAGACCCCTATCTTTGCCCAGGAAGGGGCCACATGGGTAAAATAAGAGGGACACATTTTCTTTCCCAGTCGGGAGCTGAAGGAGCATTCCGTCCCAGCGCCGGGTACATGCCGCATGCCATGCTGACGACACGGAGGACGGAGCCCCTTCGTTGATCTGGAGGCCGCGAGAGGGTAAATCATGCATTTGTCTTTTTCCCTGGCGCCGTAGGCTCGCTGACCCGAGCTGTTGGTCCCCTCTAGACGCAGGGGCGCTTAATGACGCAAAAGCATCCTTTTCTTTTCGCCGCAGGGGTCCAGTAATTGGCAGAAAAAACTCCAATTCGGCTTAACGGGCTCCGGCTGAAGTAGGGCAGAGGGCAGCGACGCTGGCTGACACAGGACCATTCCATTGTTTCATTGTGGACTCTCATCGTAAGTTATTTTATCGGTTTTCATCGTCAGAAGGCCTCGACCAACCCAAGAGGCCCCTGGCCTTTGGGGTCTCGTCCCGTCCGTGGTCAGCAAACGCTACCCTGGCCGATTTGGGGCCCTTTGGTCTGAGACGGCCAGGGGCCCCACTCCCGGCCGCTTGCCGACACAAAGCCCTCTGCTAACCAATGTGGCCCCCTGACTGACACAGGGTCCCATACTAGTTCAGGGGTCTCGACCAATGCAAATCGCGGATCCCCGGCCCGGTCTTGTGCACGCCTGGGAAATGGACTTCCAGATCTCAGACCGACACGGAGCCGACTGCTCTGTGCTGGTGGTCCCGTGCTGGAACAGGCCCGCATTGTTCCAGGAGGCCTCCAATTGGTACAAGACACCTTCTGGCTGACATTTACGGGCCCGACCTGCCAGCCGGGTCCCTTAATCGGCCCCTGGGACCATGAGTACCTAGTCATGGTTTCCCTGATTGTCAGCCCGTGGGTACACCTCGGGCCCCCGGGACCTAGGGACGGGGGGGGGGGGAGGGGTACGTGGCTATTTTGCCTTCCCTGCCCGCGCCACTGGGTGCGGGTAAACGCAATGCGCCGTATGCTGTCTAGTGTGGCAGCAAGAGCGGACCAGGCGTGACCCCGCCTGGTGTGGCTGAGGATGAAGTTAGGCTCCCTTGCCTCATTCTGGGCATCTTGGGCAATGGGGCAGCCGGGTAGTAGGTAGTAGTAGGTGGTAGGTCTTGGGCAATGGGGCAGCCGGGTAGTAGGTGAAGCTTTCGCTCGGAGGCTGCGCCGGTTTATGTGACCCCACTGTTGCCATCCCTAGAGCTGCCGGAGTTCTGATCAGAGAGTCAAGACTCAGCACCCAATTCGGACAGCTCCAGTACTGGCTCTTGTGGGGAGTGTTCGACCTCCGTGCCTGCAGCGTGACGCCCTACGACACGCACACACACACACACAAAGAGCATGTGATAACGAATACACATGTGGCCCATCTCGGATTCCATCTTGCCCTAAAGGACATAATTGGGAAAACGTCTGTATCTACGTCGCTCATTATGGGGCAGAGAAAGCATTCCAACGTCACCAGCCGTACGTGCCGCAGATGTCTCAGGAGAAATATCCCTCCCCTGCCTTTCCGCATCGGAATCATGCTCATCCCCCCACCTCTCAGATAAATTTTGGTGGTTCTCTCGCCTTTCTCAATCGATTGCGACGCATTGCCATGGGTGTCGCGTGTTCCCTTTTCGTGATGCGATGAGCAACATCCGACCACTCATCGAAGGCGACGTGGGCACCCTCCCAATGGGATACCAGCCCCCTTTCCCTGCGAGTGTTGTGCAGCCAATCTTGGTCCCCAGGCTGAAGGACCGCATTTATCACCTTTTGCGTAATAAGCCAGCTTAATTGCTTCCGAAATTACGGCAAGATTTTGCCGCACATGGTTGTGCACTTCTACCAGGTGATCCTCCACTGAGCAAGCATACTCTGTTAATGCTGTGTTGGCGTCATCCCCTAGAGATGTGCTTCCAGTCATCGGGGTTATCACTGACCGTTGAACTCCGTCCCTAGTTTCATCTTGGTTAGGCTCATGGCCCGTATCTCGGAGAGCGAGGCCACCGCGGTCTTAATCACCGCTTGAATAAGATATTTTTGCTTGGGATGACCCATCCACATCCGGGTGGGCGCAAGTATTTCATCACATCCAGTCCTGCGAACGGAACGTTTATTATAGGACACGCTCACGCTCGCCCAATTTTCAATCACGGACTGAGTGCACCCGTTCACGGCTTATTCCATTGGAATGGATTCGAAGTCCCTGATGTGGTAGAAATGGACAGCACGCCTTATTGGCAAAATCTCACAGACCTTCCCGACAGCTAGACGAGATGGTTGTGATAAGGGGTATGGAAAGCATCAACGCACATACAGGTTCATTATTTTCCATTTTAATTGTTTCTTTCCATCTTACACTCGTCTTCTGGGACTGCTGGGGTCTGGCTGTGGCTGCGGCGCGCCGACCGAAACTTCCCGGTTGTGATCTCACATGACAGGCCCCGTCGACCTGCGGCCGTGGCGAGACCATCCTGACAGTGACCTGCCTGACAGCCGGTCGTCCTGCGGCTGTTATACGACCGGCCCTGGTGCGACCTGCCCTCGTCAGGTGTTCGTCGTGCGCTGGACACGGACCCTGACCGTAGCCTGTCGTTGCAGGGCCCCGGCCTGCGGCTCTGGTACGGCGCGCTGGACCGGTACGTCGGCAGCCAGGGCGCCCGGATCGTGGTGCGCAAGGTGGCGCTGGACCAGGGAGTGTTCGCCCCGCTCTTCCTCGGCAACTTTCTGGTGGTGCTCGGCGTCCTGCAGGGCCGCGACTGGCAGCAGATCAAGCGGAAGATGAAGGACGAGTACAGTGACATACTGTTCAACAACTGGAAGGTGAGGCTGGCTGGCGCGGGCTGTCCGGACGGCGGTAAGCAGCTTGAGGTAAAGCTGCTTATGGTCCGGCTGTTTTGACTGGTTTTACGGGCAGCTGCGTCGTCAGCTGACTGATCTGTGTCGGCGATGACTGCTTTCGGGAAGTTCAAGGCGCGTGTGAGGAGATTCAGGGATGACAAGTAGCCCGTGGGTGGTTCTACCTGGTATCGTTCCGTAGAAATATTGCAGGTGCTTTTGAGGAGCTTCCCTGCGGGCTGCCATGAGAAGATCCTAGTCGTGGGCACGTCCGCATCATGTGTCTGGAAATGGTAGTTTCGAATTTGAGCGGAGATTTTCTCTGCAGACGAGGAGGAGGTCCCTGCGAATTTCTCAGACGTCAATTAGTTTGTCGAATAATATCGTTTCTCAATACATTAACTACGAGCGTGGGCTTGGACATTCATGGACATGTTGTAGTTGAATCACGTGATATGATGGAGTCGAATGTCCTCCCATGGTATGCCTCATTAATTTGTAGATGGGCTCATTCTCAAGGCTTTGTTCAAATATCGGACCATGCTTCGTCTCGTGAACAATTCTTGGTGGCTAAGAACACAAACACATCCCTGTTTTCATGTTTGTCCAAATTCTCTACCATTTCAATCATTTTTGCAGGGTATTATCCCTCGCTCTGGAGGGGGGGGGGGGGTCAGTTGTTCTCTCCCCCATAACCCTTTTCGAGGCTCGCTAAAGAAGGGCTCATGCTAGCTCCCCGAAGTTTTTGGTATATTTTTTGCATGATTGCGTGTATTCCCTGCGATGTTCATGTCCGGGTTACATCAGGTCATCGACCTACCGCAGGTTTTGCCGTAGCACTTCGGACCAAACCGTAGATGAACTTGGGGCATTCGTGCGATGCATGGTACTGTGGTTTTCCTGCAGCGCTCATAGTTTGTTCATCATGCAATGTTGCTCACTCACCCTCCAATGGCATGCTGCGATGGTCATAGGGGACTGATCCAACTTGTGCTCAGGTTCTGACCCCCGGTAACGTCCACTCCAGTAGTGTAATTTGTCAGCCATATCGCCTAATTTGTCTGTGACATTGGCTTCTTATCGTACAGATCAGCACCAAGCTCTTTATTAAGTATGCAACTGCGATCTTAGAGGGCTATATACGAGTTACTGGCCGAAGTTAAAACACAACTTGAGTTTCGGCTCAGATCGGCTCTGACACCATTCATGAATGCTGCCAGTCAAAAAGGAGCATCACTGGTTGGCAAAGGCACTTCCCGTGAAAAGAAAAACCAATGACCTCGATGACCGATGCAGCCCGGTGCCAAAAAACCCTGGGTTCATACGCATCGTGTAAATGAAGTTCTTATCACACATCAGACATGAGTATCTGAATAGAGATCAGCCCAAGAGACACCGGGAGAAACTAACCGATCGGAAAAAGAGTGTAACTTGACTTTATTTGGTTATGACTATTACCTCATAGATCGAAAAGCCTAACGAAATATCGTTAAGCTTTGCATGGGTTATAAAAGGACGTTTCGTTTTTGTATTGCCCCTTCCAATCCGAAGATACCAGGAGTTCGGCACCTCCCCTCTCCGTCAGGGGTAGTCAACACAGACGACCGTCAGTGCGCGAGTTCAGCGGGCTGCCTTTATCGACAGAGACTGGGGCGATCCAGGAGCATTGGTGGCAGCACTACTGTGGCAGAGCAGCTGGGCCTATTTCCCCAATGGCAATAAAACGGTCATTGCCCCGGTCTGTGTCAGTGTTATCGCTGGACGCCCGGAGTGTCAGCTGGCACGCTCATGCCATGCCTTGATTAAGGCATAAGGCTGGAGCTGCTGTTGTGGCGTCTGCACATGCATAAAGCAAACCTTGATGCATACGCTGAATGCAGGAGTCGCCGTCCTCCCCCGCGCACCCCTCAACCGTCTCCGATGCTTCTCGCTTGCTATTTAAAGTCAGTGGTAGCCACCATTTGTCGTGGGGTGAGCGAGGCAGTGCATAGCTCTATATTATCATGTAGATAGTGGTAGTGATAGGAAGACCTAAGCGATGGAGGCCAGACGGCGTTGGAGTTTACACAAATGGAGATCTGCGCCATTTGTTGAAGGGAATGTTTTACATTCGGAGATGTTGAAGCAACATCAGGTATGATCAAACAAGTTTACTAATGACTATTGGTATGCTTTTAAGTGGAAAAGACTGCTTTAGGCAGCACAGTTTCTCTGTCTAGCAAATGTCCTCTTCGATCCGTCATTATTTCATCGCGTCATCGTAGCTTGCACAACATTGTTTGAGAGCCAGTTGGCCGTCGCTATACCGGGAAGTCGTGGTCACGAACGCCGGACGCGAATGACTCAACCATTCTGTTTTCTTGGTGTTGATCGCCGCGTGGGTTAGGGAGTGGGAGGATCTGAATTACGTTATTATCGCGTCTTGCATGACTGAGTGACATTGAAATAGGTCGTCGAAAAAGCTGCATATCTTCGCCGGCGTGTAGCTCAGAAACTAGAGGTGCTTAGGTTTTAAGAAAGGCAGGGCTGTAAACTGCACCGAATGGTCTTAAGGATGGCTGTTGTAATTCGAAACCTATAGAAATGTGGAACACTCCCTTTAATGACCCTAACATGATATTTCATGCGCCATGACTTGCGGGTCATGGATATGCATGTATATCTGAATCCGGCTCAACTGCATCATCACATCACAACGCTTCTTATTTGGTTAGAATATCAACAACAGCATAATGAAACAACTTCATGATTTTGACAGTAGCAAAAGTCGTGTGTATTTGCTGCGATTAGTGCACAAGTAGGTGTCTGAATTTGTAACCGGGAACGGATAACTGGCTATTGCTATGTGCTGCCGCTCACCTGTATTGATTGCTTGTTCAGTTGTAAACACAGATGCGTGTCATTATGCAAATACACTTGGACATAATGAGCGCATTCAGATATGCTTCGAGTCAATAGACATTTACTGGTTCCCAATTTTACATGCAAATGCAATAAAGAACCGTCAAACAAATCGATGCTGCATTTGTAGTTTGGTGGTAAGCATATTGGGTCTGAAAATGGTCCCTCCAAGCCCGCGTGGCATGCTGTGGTACAAAAACCACGCCGTCGGTGACACCGCCAAGTATTTGAAGCTCCGTTTCCATGGGGTCGACATTGCATTTGCTCCATGTCGTGTTTTTACCACTTCCCAGCTAGCAATTTCGGTCCGATCCCAACCGGGATGTCCTGACCGTTTCTTAACTTACCGGTTAGGGCATGCCTGGGCTTAACTTCAAAAGTGGGACATTGGTTGGGACTCCCAACCTCTTACGGGCCGTCTCCCAACGTTTCCCCAAGCGGGGTGTCCGGATCGTTCCCCGAGCTACCTGTGGCGGTGAGGCACTGACAGATGGCTTTCTCCGGCAAATTCCAAATGTGACGGCCGGGGGGGGGGGGGGGGGGCTCGGGAAACCCCAAATTTCCCCAAGTGACGGCTGACAGCACGGGCTTGATCGGAGAAGGCTTGGGAAAGTCCAAGCATTTTCCAAGATGGTTACAAAAGCTTAAGGCTTGCTAGGCTTTCCCCAACCCTCGCCGACTTTTCCTCAAGGAAGTTGCTGGCAGAGTTGCTCCTCTGGGTGGAATTTCCAACCAATTATTTTGTCTCACTATCGTAAATCTTGCAACAAACATGACTACAGGTTGTGCTCATGTACAATGGCAGTACACATATTTGTGTGATTGTTGAAAGTGTTGAAAAGTATTTTAGTCGGGTTTGGTAGTTGTGCTAGATCTTCTCCCAACGATTTTTGTCAGCTTGTTTTATATGGTTCGAGTTGTAACGAGCTAACGAGGACCATCTGTTTCCGCTATTTACTTACGCGCGCTGGCCTAGCTTTATCTACTCTATTGGAAAACTACGTGTAACAGGAATGAACATAGACTATTGAATACGGTTGTTTATGAAGCTATTTGAATTTGGTTATTTAAATAGCCATATATAACAAGCATCATGCCAACAATTTCTGATAGCGTGCCATCTTAACATAGCTTCTGGATTTAAACTATGCTTACACTAGCAATTGTTACTCTGTAAGTTACCCTGGTATTTAACTCATCTACTTCGGCCCATTAACTCGCAGCATGTTATGCTGTATTTCGGATTTTGCAGTTCCTTCCAGTTTCTGCCGCTAGTACTTTATGCCAGCCGGTTTGAGCCGGTGAAAACCGGCTGGTAGGATCCGTTTCCGCCAGGTGCTGCCAGCCCTGTGCGGACCGCGCTGCCTTGAGTTTCCGCTTTGATCTTTTTATACAAGCGGACCATGTCCGTCTTTTATCTCAGGTTTCTAGGCAAAGAGGTTCACTGATTACTGCCCACTCCTTGATCACAAAAGACTTGCTGAGTGGTTGCTGGTGGTGGGACCACATATAACCAATGCCGCTATGCCATTATTATATCATTATACTGTTAATGTCCTTATTTTGTGGCACTATCTACCTATCCATCTTTCTTTGTGTGCATGTGTCTATGTCCATCTGTCTATATATATATATATATATATATATATATATATATATATATACATGGTGTTCACGAGAGAGGCCATATATCAATATATATATATACATATATATATATATATATATATATATATATATATATATATATAAAGTGGGTTCAGTCAGGATGCCACGGTTCCTTTCTGCAGCAGCGCACGTTATTTCATAACCCTTGGGCGCAACCATCCCCAACGACGAAATCGTTGAGTTCGTATGGTCTGTCTTTGTTGATCCTAGGCTGAGTGTTCACTGAGGGTCATTATTTCGGGTGCGTGTTGGTAAGAACAGTTTAGCTAGGCGTCTATAAAATGCGTAGTACCTCATCTTTTTCGGTTTGATTCGCAGCTATTTGTATTTGACGGAGTTTCTGAGGCGATCGTTGCCGCCTTCCGGCCCTGGTGGCCGTGGTCGGACAGCGTCCAAATTGCCAGGAAGTTTGTAGG